CACTGTTCATGACTCCCGTGCCCCCTGTGGTCGCCTCTATAGTTCCAGCAGAGCCTGGCCAGGGGGCATTTGCTCTTGTCCTAGAGTCTGGTCTCCAGATAATCAGAACTCAGAGAGCTGAAGGACTCTGAGAAAATTTTCCTCCCAGATATACTGTGAGCAGCAGCAGCATCAAGGGCTGAGCTAGGTGAGCAGTGGTGGTGTTAGGTATGTCAGGGACATCCAGCTGCAGTGAGTTGCTGGGGCCACCCTATGCAGTCAATTACGGTGGGAACTAGGGGCTCCTTGGCAGCTCAAGGGCTGAATTGGGCTTGAAAAGCACTCTTTTGAGAGAAAATATCTAAATGACATATACATTCAAGGACACAGAGATTCTGTGACCACAGGAGACTGCTGTTCATAGGGCTGAGAGCTGCCACAACTTTTCCAGCCATGATGCCTGCAGTTGCACTTCTGCCATCTTCTTTCCATATTGAACGATCCTTGCACCCCTGGGATGAATCCCAGGAATTATGGTGTTGTATTGTTTTTTGATGTAGTTTTGTATTTGTTTTACTAAGATTTTTGTTGACTATGTTTTCATCAGTCTTCATCAAGATGATAAGTGTCTGTGTAAGCCAAAAAGATGGCAGCGGTCTATCTCTCCTGCCGCCTGTGTTTAGTAGTTTCAGGCCGTTTCCCCCACACCAGGTAGGTCGACTGCGATGGGCAGGCAAAGGAAGGAAACGAGGGCCAGTCTGGTTGATATTACTTGCAGTTTATTCCAATCCTCTCTCCATTCACTCCTGTCTCTCCTCTGTCTCCTTCAGCCCCCTCTTACAGTCCCATTTTATCCCATAAAAAAAAATTTATGTCATGGAGGGCCCAGGTTCTCTCAGACCTATCACTCTTGGTTCTCTCAGCCTGTGTTCCCCGGTTCTCTCAGACCTATCTCCCCCAGGTTCTCTCAAGCCTGAGTTCCCCAGATTCTTTCGGCTTGTGTTCCCCCAGATTCTCTCAGCCTGTGTTTTCCCCAGAGAGCCCCTAAAAATCTCATTATATAGATCATGGGACCTCTAAAGGGCACAATGCAGTGATGTCATCAAAAGGAGTTACAGAAAGAACATTGAGGCAGCAAAACATACATTGTTTCTTTACATCTGCAGGTCAGTAATTTTGGCCTTAGGAAAGAAGCTACAAAACCAAAACTGAAACCTTTCTTGGGCTACAAGAACTTGTATCTGCATTCCAAAGACTAGTCTGGCTAGAACCTGGAATGTACATCACAAAGATCAGGCCTGGCTAGCACCTGAGATCTGCATGTCAAAGACCAGCCAGGTTTCTGTGAGAAAAGGAAAACTGTCCTTTACAATATACTGAAATTATTCACTGAAGGCAGTTTGAAGGGGAGAGATATTCAGCCTCATCCAAACTAGTCAGTACACACAGGAAACCTGCTTCTAGGACAGATTCTCATGATCAGGTTGACCCACCCTAGAATGGAATCCCCTGGGTGTGTTTCTCCTCTCCTTGTCCAACAAACATATAAGCAAGCATAATATAATATAATATAATATAAATATAATATAAAAACATAATATAAATCATTTTGTATGGATATAGTAAGAAATACCATAAACTTATAGAATTGCTCTCCCTAGGGTCATCTCAATCTCAGACTACAGTGCTCAGGCCAGATATTCTTTCCTATCCCTAGCAGGGTCCTAGTCTCGTCATTATTTTTGGATCATGACACCATTTGTCTTGAAAGAATCCATATTAGGGCATCACATTTTTGTGTACTTTAGCTAACTTGCAACATTGCTTTCTGTAAAACTGCTTGGCTGCTTTGCACCTGGGGGAGAGGGGACTTGGAAAGTGAACAGGGCATAACTTCTTTCTAAACCAAGTGTGACAGGATTCAGGTGTATTTACTGTCCCTGAAATGTATTGTCTCAGTAAAGCAACCTGCAGATTTGGGTAAAGGATAACTCAGGATGCGGGTGGTTGGGGGAAATTGCCCTTTCCTGGAATGTATTGTCTCACTAAAGCACCCTGCAGACTTGGGTAACTCAAAAGGAGGATGGTCAAGGGAGATTACCTAAGGCTTAATGATTCCAGCTATAACCTTGCTTGTGCTGACAATTGATGTATGTAAATGCTGATCTTTGAATCTATAGGCTAAGGAGTGAGGTACTTTTAAATGGATTGGTTAAGAAAGTATATGTTGTTGCAAATCTATTGGCTATGAAATGCGCGGGCTTTGCTGTAACAGCCAGTGAAGGCCTATATATGATCCCCTTTGAAGAAGTTCGGGGCTCTCAGCCACTGCCCGTTTTTGGGGTATGCTGCGGAGCCCCAGCATGCTGGTCTAAATAAACCCCGTTTTTACTCCTGCAGGAATTGTGTCTATCTGGTCTCTCCGCGCCTCCCAGGGCTAGGGAACTCCCGATCCCAACAGTCTATGATAAAACTCTTAACTTATAGTTAAGAATTGTGGCACTTTGGCCTGACCCATCTCGATGCCAGGGTAGCACATAGCTTACAGCTTGCCCTGGAACACTCCAATTTCTCGTTGGGACCCTGCTTTTAGGGACGCTTGGAAGTAAGGGCAACTGAGGCTTAAGCCAAGAAAGCAGATGCCTGGGAGTGAATAATATTCAAAGCCAAATAAATCCTAAGCCACAAAGCATAATATTAACTGTCTTCCTGTATCTATACAAAAAGGACATTGCATTAAACTATTCAAAAGACATAAGGAGAGGAGAAAGGCAATATTAACTTACAATACAAGTTCAGTGTCCTAGAAGGATCTGACTTTACAAATTAACAGATTCTGACTAGGGGAAAAGCTGATTGATTGGTTGGGGTGGAGAGCACAAAGAAGTGGTTACAGACAAAAAAAAGGAATGGGAGTGGCTCGGGAGCACTGTGATGGGTGTGACTCAATGAACCTAAGCTCCTTGTGGCAAGGGAGAAAGGACAAATCAATTGTTAGGCCTAAAATATTTGGAGCTATATTCTAATAGGTCTGATATTTTCGTTATTTGTTTTATTTTTGTAATATCAGTCAGCTTTGGGAATCAGTGTATTGTCAACTTCATAGAAGGTGTTAGGAAGGATTCCTGTTGCTTTGACATTTTGAAAGAGCTTAAGGATCAGTGGAAGTAAATCTCTGAATAAAACTCTTGTAAACTTATCTAGAACAGGACTCTTTTCTTGAGGCTGTTTTTTTTTTTTTTTGCTTTTTGGGTCACACCCGGCATTGCACAGTGGTTACTCCTGGCTTGTGCACTCAGGAATTGCTCCTCACGGTTCGTAGGGGACTATATGGGATCCTGGGAATCGAACCCGGGTTGGCCATGTGCAAGGCAAACTCCCTACCCGCTGTGCTATTGCTCCAGCCCCTTTGAGGCTATTTTTAAATTACTGTTTCAGTTTCCTTGCTTGCCATTGGGCTATTCAGGTTTTCTGCTTATTAGGTTTTGGGAGATTATATGTTTCTAGGAATCCATCCATTTCTTCTATTATTTTCCAGCTTAACAGAGTCAAGTTGCTCACAGTATGCTCTCATATCGTTGTGTATTTCTAGGGGTTCTGTTGGAATTTCTTCCCTCTAATTTCTGATCCTATTTATTTAAGAATGTTCTTTTTTCCCCCACATGATTCCAGCCAATAGTTTGTCTCTATTGTTTATTCTTTTAAAGAACCAGCTTCTGGTTTCATTGATTCTTTGTATTGCTCTCTTGGTCACTGTATCATTTTTATTATTTTCTTACTTTTATTTGGTTGAATTTGTTTTTGTTTCTCCACACATTATTTGTTGTAAGGAGAGGAAAAACAATCAAGTAGGATCAATGGAAACATTTGGCCACCTGAGTGGGACTCATTTTTTATTTATGTATAAATGTATAAAGACCTGCCATTTTTGTCTTCACACGTTTATGTCTGAATATATTCACATATATGTCTACATTTTATTTGCGTACAATATTTTTATATTTTACATGTCAAATGGACTGGAGCGATAGCATAGCGGGTAGGGCTTTTGCCTTTTATACAGCTGACAGGGATTTGACTTCTCCATGCCTCTCAGAGAGCCCGCCAAGTTACCGAGAGTATCCTGCTCCCATGGCAGAGCCTGGCAAGCTCCCCGTGGCATATTCAATATGCAAAAAAACAGTAACAACAAGTATCACAATGGAGACATTACTGGAGCCCGCTTGAGCAAATTGATGAACAATGGGACGACAGTGCTACAGTGCTACATGTCACATATGTCTGTTGTAAAATAGAAAAGTTCCATTATTTATGTAATTTACATATGTGTAGATATTTCATAATAAACCTTACAATCAGAAAGTTATATATTGTTTTAATTCATCTCTATATTGTGTGTCCAAGCATAAAGAAAGCAAATAAACATAAAAAGCATATCATGTTCAATTTCTAGACATGTAATACATACATTAAATAGTCACCTGGATCAAGACAGAAAACATTTCTGACACGCCCATCAGAATTAATTTTGAAGAAGTACCTGAAGCATTATAGAGACAGAAAGTTTTCAAAATTGTGTCCTTAAACTTATTTAATAAAAAAATTAATTCATTTAAAACCGTACAATTATTGTAGGGGCCATCTCCAGTTCTAGGGAGCTGGGAAATCCCAGTTATTATTAAGTGGGGATGAACTGATAAAAAAAACTATCATATGGCAATATAGAGATTCTGAGGACTGGTATAAATCCATACTTAAGAGGAAACGCAAAGCAAAAACTAAAAATTTATAATGGAAATGTCAGAATAAAATAGAAAACATGATTATGTAAACCTTTCTTCCTTTAATATTCTCTTTACTGATCAGAATAGGTAATAAAACCTGTTTTATGTCAGCAGAGTGGAACATGGGAATACCAACCTCTCTGAGATGTGTGTGCTCGTAAACAGGTTTACTAAGCTCTCAGAACATCAGTTCTTGTATAATAGCTTCCTTATTCTTTTGTATATATGTTTTTTCTGTCATTTAGACTTAAAGAACATCATCTTATTAGAAAAAAACTTTAGTGCTTGTTTTATATCTCTGTTTCTCAGGCTGTAGATGAAAGGGTTCAGCATGGGGGTGATTATCATATACATCACAGAAGCAGCTATTTCTTTACCACTGGACATGGATGGGGAAGAGAAAAAGTACACTTCTACAATGGTACCATAGAATAAAGCTACTACGAGGAGATGGGAACCACAGGTAGAAAGGACTTTGAAGAATTTTTTAGCAGAAGGATTTTTCAGGACAGTGGCCCATATACAGATATAAGATCCAATGATAGAAGTAAATGGAATACATACAATCATTCCTCCCTCAATGAATATGACCAGTTTATTGAGTGAAGTGTCTGAGCAGCTTACCTCCAGCAATGCAGTGAGTTCACAGAAGAAGTGGGGGATTGTAATATCACCACAGAAGGACACTTGAATCAAGAGCAGGGTGTGAATCAGTGCATGTGAAAAATTGATGATCCAGGTCCAAGCTACTAAGGAGATACATCGTTCTTGCCTCATGATCATGGTGTAGTGGAGTGGCTGACAGATGGCTACATACCTGTCATAGGCCATCACTGCAAGAAGGAAATTGTCAGTACAAGCAAAAAATATTAAAAAATATACCTGAGAAATGCACCCTGAATAGGGGATGGACTTGTGAATACTCTGCATGTCCACCAACATTTTGGGAACCGTGACAGATGATAAAGACACGTCGTTGAAAGCCAAGATACTGAGGAAGAAGTACATGGGTGTGTGGAGACGAGAGTCTATCCTGATGAGTAGGATGATGAGCAGGTTCCCCAACATGGTGGTAAGGTATATGACCAGGAAGAGGGTCAAGAACCAGCCCTGTTGTTCTGGTGGTATAGGGAGACCCTGGAGGAGGAATTCAGAAACTCTGGTCTCATTCTGTCTCTTCATGATGCTCCTCTTTCTTCTGGGAGTCAAAAACAAGGAAATGTTCAGAACCCGAATAGCCATATTATAGTAAAACACTGTCCTCCCGTTGTTTATCAATTTGCTCGAGCGGGCCCAGTAACATCTCCATTTTGAGACTTGTTGTTACTGTGTTTGGCATATTGACTACGTCACGGGTTGCTTGTCAGGCTTTGCAATGCAGGGAGATAGATGCTCTCGGTAGCTTGCCGGGATCTCCCAGAGGGGCAGAGGAATTGAACCCGGTTCGGCCGGGCTGGCTGCGTTCAAGGCAAACACCCTACCGCTGTAGTATTGCTCCAATAATTTTTATATGAATGTGTTATTTTTAAACTAGTCTTTGTTTATAACTCACATATATGTATGCATGAATCATTTACCATTTGGGTTCTAATAATACATCACTTCTTCATAATTTATAAGATAGATTTCTTAATCTGGAAAAATACTTTGAACAACAACTTAATTCATGCTCTGTACAAAGCATTCCACAAAGTTCTATACACAAGAGTAAACAAGCAATGCAAGTCTCAGTGCTGAAGAAGTGTACAAAATCATAATATCTAAGTGTGCAAAGTTGCTTCGATGCTACAGATAACGGTGAAAGGAATGACAACATGTATCTAACCAGAATCTGTCTCTTAATTACAACACCCTGGCTCTCTTACTCCTCATTTTTTAGCATCTTCTGACATGCTAAGTGACACCACTCTAACATAGTTGAAGGATGGCATCTTTGCTGTCCTTGTATTCAAGATAAACAGCAGGATGGCAAGTATTTCTTAGAGCCTGAACTGCTCAGGGACACTGGTCTAACTCTCCAAATTCTCAAATGTGAATAGTGACTGAGCATGTGGGGACACACCACAATAAACTAACAAACTATAACAGAGAGCTTTGATTTTCACAGGATTCAATTTTTGATTATTGTAGTCCTTCACTCAGGAAAAGAGGAACAGATCATGTTCACAAAGAGTGTGAGATACCTATTTAGACAGGCTTATTTCATAAAACTTCTATAAGTATTGTCTCAGAATTTGGAGATTTATGAACATTGGAGATTTATAACAAAACATTTAGTTTGAGGAAAGATTATTATGATCCGTCTTGTAGACTGAACACCGATTATTTTTCAGACACAGTGCTGAATGATTAGTGAATGCTTTTCTATTTAAAATCTCAATATAGCATTGTGATTGAGACAAAGTCACCGTTTCTTTACCAGTGAAAGATGAACATAAGAGACAAACATAGCAGTCTCAGACGGTGGATTAAATCATTTCTGATCTATCGAGATATTGGAGTCAAAGGAACAAGTTTGTATACTTACCTAGAGGAAGAAATGTACCTGATCCTGCCAGCTCAATGCAGTAATGTGGCCATCATTGACAGATTCCTGAGTGTCTGTGGGCAAAAAAGATGGGCCCCATTTACTCACAGATTCCATCAGAGAAATACTGTATAAATCAGACATCATTAATTAATAAATAGAGCAAGCTTGATGACATGCAGAGATAACATAAGAGACATGAAGGAAAACAAAGATTACACATCACCACATCACTGAGTTAGAATTTCAAACCCCCCCCATGCTGACCATGGTTAAACTCAGGAAATTTCTCCTCCATTCTGGTGAGCATATCTATGTTTCTTGGACTCTGTATTCTCATGACTGAACTTTGATATCTGTTTACAAGTTGAGAATATGGAAGATATTAAACAAGAGCAGGCTAGATATTTGGTAACGAGGGTCCAAAGCACACTCGGAGTGCTCTACACTTGCTTCCTGGGACTTTCCTGATGCTTTGTGCACTGGTCGTAGAGAAAAGAATCTTTATGTCAAACGTAGTTTTATTTATAGCTTTTATTTAGATCTTGCCTTTTCTCCCAGTCTTTCTCTGTTTTTTTTAAATTGTTTTGAGTATTAGTCTCATACTATATTTTACATATTGCAAAATGACTGCAATCACTTTGTGTCTGTCCCTTCCTTCTGAATCACTTATAGTAGAAACCAGATTCAGGCAGACTGGTAAATGATTTAAAACTTGCCAGAGGGAGAGTGCAATTAGGATAGAGAGGGGCCCTCTAGGACAATGACAGTTGGAAATGATCATTCTGTAAATAACTGATAGCTGACAGGAGAAAAAGGGAAATACATGGTAATCATTCAGTACCTTTACTGAAAACTATAATGTGTAAAAGGAAAGAGAGAATGAGAGAAAGATATATATATAGAGAAAGAGAGAAGTAAGGTGTTTGCTGTAGATGCATACTGGGAGTGTGGGTGGCAGAATGGAAATGGGGAGATCAGTGCTCTATCTCATGATGGTTCAATGAAAAAAATAAAATCTTGTTTTTAGCCACACTCTATGGTACTAAGAGCATATCACTGGCTCTGTGATCAGGGGTCCCTCCTGGGTGTGCCTGGAAACCATTCGGCAATGCCAAGGATTGATGCAGATATTTGCAGGACAAATACCTTACCTCTTATCCTGTCTTTTAAGTCCTTCTGTGTCTGTTTTCTCTTACTGCATCAGAGATATCACATAGATAAAGATACCTGTTGAGTAAACGTACATTTTATCATATTACACAAGCAAGAAATCACCACACATCACATGCACATGGGGTGCACATACATGCTTCTATGCACACAGAGACAGAACTTTCTGTTCTACTATTATAAGCTTACTCTGATATCTTTACTCTTGGTTGGACAAGAGCCTTCTCATCCACTTTACGTGTCTTCAGCTTCTGTAGTACTTAAGAGGAACAAAACAGTGGGATGGAACCCACTGTGAGCCCATAATCACCTGAGCTTTCTGTGTCCGTCCTTGACCTACAAGTCAATAAAGAAGCCATTTTATAAACCTCATAGAGGACTAAGTCAAAGTCCCTAAGCTCCTGGTTAAATAAAGAAAAGTAATTATCATAGCCCATTTAGACCTTGGGGAGGTGGTTGAGCAGAGATCCTCAGGCCACATAAGAGTGTTTTCCAAGTATCAAGGGTCCCTGGAACTGAAATGCCTGCTAAGTGCCTGCTGGACACAGGAATGGCTGAGATGTTTCCAAACACCAGTGAAGCAAATGCACATGTCCGCCAGGGCTGGTTGTGGGTCTCTACCAGACACTCCTAATTGACCCTACATAGGTAAAGTAACTTCTCTCAGCCTTTTTTTTTTTTTTTGGTTTCTATTTTTTTTTTTCCGTTGTAGATTTACAATTTTTTTGTGCTTGGGTTTCGATTATACAATGATCAGATACCCATCCCTCCACCAGTGCCCATTTTCCACCACCATGAATAATATCCCCCCACCCCCATCCCCCCATCCCCCCCTGCCTCTGTGGCAGGGCAATCCCCTGTGTTCTCTCTCTCCTTTTGGGTGTTGTGGTCTGCAAAAGAGGCATTGAGTGGCAAACATGTTCAGTCCATAGTCTACTTTCGACATGCATCTCCCCTCCTGGGATGATCCTCCAAACACCCTTTATTTGGTGCTCCCTTCTCTATCTGAACTGCCCTTTCCTCTAGGATACCCGGCTGGCCTCTAAGTTATGGAGTAATCCTCCTGGTGCTGATCTCAGCTATTCTTGGGTATTAATCTCATACTTTGTTGCTTTATATCCCCCAGATGAATGCAATCTTTCTATGTCTATCCCACTCTTTCTGACTCATTTCGCTTAGCATGATACTTTCCATATTGTACCACTTGTATGTAAATTTCATGACTTCATCTTTTCTAAGAGCTACATAGTACTCCATTGTGTAGATGTACCAAAGTTTCTTTAACCAGTCATCTGTTCTTGGGCATTCAGGTTTCTTCCAGTTTCTGGCTACTGTAAAGAGTGCTGCAATGAACAAACAAGTGCAGATGTCACTTCGACTATACATTTTTGCCTCTCTGGGATATATTCCCAGGAGTGGTATTGCTGGGTCAAATGGGAGCTCAATTTCTAATTTTTTGAGAATTGTCCATACTGTTTTCCAGAAGGTCTCAGCCTTTTCTTTAGAAGGCTGACAGAAATATACTTAAGATAATGATTTCTGTCATTAAAAATATTTTATTACTGTTTTAGGCAGGACAGTGAAGAAAAGAACCGGCTGGAGGGCCCCACAGCTCTGGGAGAATGCTCTGGCCCTTTCTCGAGCCGATATCACTGGGAAGTCCCAGATAGGGTAGGTGCTGTCTCCCCGCCTTCCTCAGATGGAATCCCGGTAACCATGAACTTCTACAAGCATGGCTCTGGCATGCGGGTACCAGGACTTTTTCTGAACTGTAACAGAGCCGCCCCGGCTCCTAGGCAACCTTTGATTCCAGAAGTCATGCCCACAGCCCACTCCCAGCGCCATCTTACAGCACACCGCAGTGAAGAAAAAAACCGGCTGGAGATTGATGATGTAGAGCATTTTCTCATGTGCCTTTTAGCTATTCAGATTTCTTCTTTGAGAGGGTTTCTGTTCATTTCATCGCCCAATTTTTTGATGGGGTTGGATGTTTTCTTCTTGTGGAGTTTAACCAGTGCCTTGTACATCCTTGATGTCAACCACTTGTCGGATGTGTATTCGGTGAATATCCTTTTACCAGGAATTTTGCTCCATGGCTTGGAGGACAGCCGCACATGCTACGGGAAAAGGGAGCCCAGATAGAGAAGGGAGCACTAAATAAAGGGTGTTGGGAGGATCCTCCCAGGATGGGAGAATCATGCTGAAAGTAGACTATAGACCAAACATGATTGCCACTCAATGCCTCTTTTGCAAACCACAACACCCAAAAGGAGAGAGAGAGAACAAAAGGGAATGCCCTGCCACAGAGGCAGGGTGGGATGGGGATGATGGGGGGTGGGAGGGATACTGGGACCTGTGGTGATGGAAAATGGGCACTGGTGGAGGGATGGGTACTTGATCATTGTATAACTGAAACCCAAGCACAAAAATTTGTAAGTCTACAACTGTACCTCATGGTGTTTCACTAATA